CTCTGGTACAGCCACAAGGTGTACCATTTTGCTGAATCTGTCAACAAATACGAGAATACCCGTATTCCCGCGTGCGTCTTTGGGTAACCCGAAGACGAAATCCATTTAGATGGATTCCCAGCACTCAGCCGGAACCGGTAGAGGCTGTAAAGGTGCACGCAGTGAAGGACTTGACTTCACTCGTTGGCAGACTTCACATGCGCGAACATACTTTCGCACAAACTGATACTGGCGGGGCCAGTAAAAGTCTCGACTCACCGTGAGATATGTTTTCTCTCGGCCACGATGTCCTCCAATAGGATCATCGTGTTACTCGAACATGATCCGCAAACGCAGATCAGTATCATCTGGAATGACAACACGTGGTGTGTCACCAGAAACGGCTGTATACTACAGTGAACCGTTACGAGTAGTGTATCGATCTGATGCAGATCGATACGCAGGCGACAATCGTTTCAACGATTCTCGAGATGGTTGGGAGAGATGTGTCAACAACTTCACTATCTCACCATCTTGGTCGTATGCCCGCCTCACATCATCATACAACGTTGTAGATGGGACTGAGGACGTCATAACCGCAACAGTGGCTGTCTCAACGTCGGGTTTCACGACTGGTTCAAAGTCGGGACGACGTGAGAGTGCATCAGCGACGACATTAAGTCGTCCTGGTTTGTACTCTACCGTAAAGTTGTATTCTGCAAAGAATGACAACCACCGCGCCATTCGTTGTGAAAAGTGCGGGCTGTTCACTGCCGTGCGTAATGACGCATGGTCAGTGTAAACAATGAAGGGTCTATCTCCTAATAGATACACTCTAAACTTCGCGAGTGCATACTTCATGGCAAGGAGTTCCTTGTCATGCACTGGATAGTTCTGCTCAGCTGGTAGCAGCTGACGTGACTGATAGCAGACGACGCGTTCAACGCCTTCAAGATCGTACTGCATTAATGCACAGCCGATTGCGAAATCGCTGGCATCACAGACCACATGAAATGGCCAGTCCTGATCGGCTATTGCTAGGACTGGGGATTGTATCAATCTATGCTTGATACAATCAAAGGAGCGCTGACATTCAGCGTTCCATAACCACCTCTCGTTCTTTTTCAACAAACGAGAGAAGTGTACATTCATCTCGGCGAAATTGCGTGAACACTTATGCAAATACGCCGCTAGCACAAGGCACTTTCGAAGACCTTTGACATCAACTGGCACCGGCCAGTCGGTGATCTCCCTGATCTTTTCGGGATCAGGACGTACACCGTTCTTACCAACGATGCATCCGAGAAGTGGTATTTCGCTTGCTGCAAATATACACTTCTTAATATTTGCATACAATTGATGCTTTCACATGATTGTAAGAACCTGTCGGACGTGGTACCTGTGAACCTCAACGTCCGACTTTCCATCCATAGCTCGACTATGGATGAATACGTCATCCATAGCCCGACTATGGACGAAGCCATCGTCGAAGTAACTCGGCGCGAATTATCGTACTGGTCTCAACAGATGTGATATACATCTGTTGAACGTGGCAGGGGCATTACTAAGCCCTTGTGGCATTACTAGCCATTCCCAGAGCATGCCGCTAGGCGTGCTCACTGCGGTATAGGGTATATCCAGTTCTCGCATAAGGATTTGATAGAAGCCATCCATCAAATCCATGGACGAAAAGGTGGTACTGTTTGACGTACCATCAATGATTACGTCCTTCCTTGGTATCGGCGTCTGAGCCGGTACCGTTGCAGCATTCAACTTGTTAAATGCATGCACAATCCGCCACCCTCCTGTTGCTTTTCGCACACAGAAGGTCGGAGAGCTATGTGGGGAAGTTGATTCCCTCACATGGCCCGCAGCTAAACGATCGGCAAAGAACTTGTCGATCGCAAGTACTTGCTCACGAGGTAGTGGCCACTGCTTCATGACACAGTACTTCGAGCTTGTTTTAACCTCGACCTCGTGTCGAATACCTTTATCCTTCGGTAATTCGCACGGAACAGTTTCAGGGAATACATCCTTGAATTCAACCAAATCTTCATAGAGAGGATTTGTCTTGAGCGATTCCCATGATTGGGAGTCATATCGCTCAATTCGTGTCTTTTCATCTAGGACACTCTCGTCCATAGATGAACTACTGAGAACTCTCTCGTTCTCAGTAAACACTGTTGCTGACCTTATGTCGGTTACATACTCGTCGTCAGCGACGAGTATGCAGATCTGCTTGACTTTGCCACTACGCAGATCACGCAAGAACCTTTTATGTTCGAGCGTTGGCAACTGAGTGATCTCCGAAGTTAACTTCGGAGGCGCAATCAGATCAAGTGTATAAGCGCCTACACTTGATCCGTTATTGACTATGACATTCAATGTCTCTGTCATTTCCTGGGGACTTACTCCCTCAGGCTTCGAAGGACTTATTCCTTCGTCTTCCCGGGGACTTATTCCCGCGGGTTTCGGGGAACTTATTTCCGCCGTAATTGTAATCTTGGGACTTATTCTCTTTACTTCCTCTAGCTGTGGTTGCGCAACCACAGCGAGATCCTCTACGAAAGACTCTCCAGTCGATCCAGGATTATCGTTTCGCTTAACCTGAGCGATCGATTGTTTCTCTTCTAGATGTTCCCCGCTAGGGATACATCTTTGTCCCAGTCCACCCGACTTATTCGAGTGGTGGACCTTCGGCGCAGCCTGTGTTTCCTCACAGCCGCCGGAACTTTGCCCCGAAGTGTAACCGTTTGGTACACTAAGGTTTTGTGCAGTCGTACTAACGACCGTACCACAAGTGAGGCCATCGCACTCACTCGTAGTACATCCACACGCTTGTGGACGCTCCAAAACGTTCATCAGATGGCCATCTGATGAACAAGCGGCAGGCATCGTTACTGTTCGATGTTGCCAGTTTACCCGTGGTTCGTACCTTCTGAGCCACGGTATTCCAAGGATGACATCAAATTTGTCATCCAAATCCAATACGATAAAGTCATCGTCATATTGGGTATCTTCTAGCGTATAGTGGATCTTCACTATACGCTTCATGACGGTTACGGATGCGCCTGTCGCAAGACGTACCGTCATCCTCGTAGGAGGTGTGTCACATTCACTGAGCTTAAAGTGACTATCTTCTAGCGGTTGGCGTTGCACAAAATTGTTGGACGACCCACAATCGACTAGAGCTCGAAGGGACAACTTATTCGTCACTTCGAGTTTCAAGGTAATGAGTGAGATCTCATTGCCTAGAGCAGCAACGCACAATGTCTGTGTGTTGGGAGCAACCTTCATCAAGAGGCCTACAAATTCTCTTGACGTTGCTGGATCAGTAGGGTGCTCCGCGCCTACTGATCCTGTCCGTTTTTTGACGGTCCATCCCGTTGTTGCGTCTTTGCACCAACTGCGGACCCTCGTCCCTGCCCCTTTCTCATGGGTGGACGGTCACTACGCCCAGTGTCGCGAGACACTGGACGAGGGGCACTACACTCGCAAGCGTAGTGTCCTGTCTTCTGACATCTGTTGCATTTCTGCAACTTCTTGAGTCTGTAGAGCGAGCCTTCTCGCTCTCTACAAAACAGAGTTACATCGGCTCTGGACCTCCGCTGTCATATCGTCTCGGTTGACGATATGATGTCGAGCTGGCGCGAGCCTGTCTCATACTGAAGTCTTCCTGTTCCGCAATGGAAATGGCTTGTTCTAGTGAATCTAGTTCAAGTCGGAACAGGTGAGTCTTGACGGGACCATCCGCAAGACCCTGCATGAACACCGAAACCAACGTGTGTTCATCCACCGGATTGGAACTTATACAACTCGTGAGATGTCGTATTTGTTGCACGTAAGCGTGCACATCACGCTTACCTTGTCTGAGCTTCAAGAGTTCGGTTCGAGCTCTGAACTCAGCTCTAGGCGGTTCAAATGTTTGTCTGAGCCGCGACTTGAAGACTTCTAACGACCCCAAACGCATACGGGTGGTGCAACTTGAGCCCCAGTGCCCGAGTCTTGGCACGTCCTGCCAGATTTGACTGGGAAATGCAACTTGCATATCCCCGTCGTCGATGCGACGCGCCCTTATGGCGTCATCCAATTCGACGAACCATCTCAAGAGGGAGTCCTCTTCGATTCCCCTATACTTGGAGATGTCAATCTTCAAGGTCTCGGGTCGACGCGAGTGCATCGACCCACCAGCAGCAGCCTGCTGCTGTCTCAACAGTTCAAACTGTTAAGCACCCTGTTCCCTTAACAACTCTGCTTGTTGAGAACCTTGTTGGTGAAGCAAGGCTGCTTTCTCGCGTTCAGCGTCAAGTTCATTTTGAATGAACTTGGCGATAGTAGCATGTTGGGCATCTCTATTGAGAGCCTCTAGCATGACGCTAACAGCATGGATGCCCATGGTCGAACCCATTCGTTCAACCGCATCCCATTCGACATCGCTCAAATGGGAGTAGCCGTCACGCGTAGCGTGAAAGCTTTGGTCATCTTCATCATCTAACATATTCATGTTAGATGTGAACGTGGTCCTTGGACGGACTACAAAGTGCTACCAGGTGTAACGGGGCACCCTGAAGCTTGTACTGGTGACAGTACAAGCTACTTATTCTGATGACAGAATAAGGCGGTGCCTCGTAACTTCACGTACACTCGTACGTGCAGAGGAAGACGGTAAGAAGAAGCGAGTACTTGGTTAAAGAAAAAAGTAGAACTGTATTTATCATAGTTAGTGTCTGTTAATAAACCACTATTTATCCTCATCTAGCTATGTCTGAGTACAAATGTGCATATCAACTATCTGCTCACCACTCATTGCGTGCGTCTGTCGTGGCGCGTCTTCGTTGGTTGATATAATGGCCTATATCAACCGATTGGGAACTACTCGTAAGTGCTGCAGAATATTTGTCCTTATGACAACATTCTGAGAATATAACTCTTATAGTTATATTCTAATATCAATTTCTTATAAATTGTTATGTAACGGTTCACCCCATTACACACGGTCCAAAGCGTTTGCTTTTCCCACTATGCCCGCCGGATTCAAGCGACCGCAATCATCTGAACGCTGCACTGGTCCCGCAAAAAAGGGTGTGAGGGTGTCTCCGTTGGGAGAGTTCGAGGAATTTTCTCTAGACAACGCTGTGGCCAATACGAAGACCGGTGCTGTTGCTGCTCGTCTATCGAAGGCCGTTCTATTGAAGATTTTTGAACAAGACGCGACGATTTAGTTCCTCCGACCACAAAAGCTGGGTCTGTATTGTGCCACGCTGGTACTGGCATATCTTCGAGCACACCAAGCCTGAGGAGCTTCGTTCAGCAGCTTTAATGAAGTCGTCTGTGTCCTGGTCTGCCATATTTCAGCAGGCATGGGAAGCACACCCAAGGTATAATGACACTATAGTGATGTTGGCAAACGTACGCGGCTTCCGCGGTTGCAGCAGCTATGCGGCGAAATAGGGAGTTACCGATACTCTGGCAGGACATTTGAAGCACAAAAGACGAACCTGCGGAATTTAAGACACGCTATCCAGCACATGCAGGGCATTGTAAGGGATCCTGCCACGCGGCAGACAAGACTCACTGGAGGTCTCGTGAACTGGTACGAGAATGGACACCACTACATTGGGCCACATGTCGACGACAAACGTGACGGGATGGTGTGCTCTGCGATCGTGGCCTTGTCACTGCGAGCTACTAGGCGCTTTGTGTTTACAAAGAGGACCTCAAAGAATGCTCTAAACGACGACGTTGCTGTAGCGCGAATGGAGTTGCAGGTTGGAGATGGTGATTTGATGGTCATGGGTGGTACGACGCCAAGAACGCACAAACATGCGGTTCCCAAGATGGCTAGATATAGTGAGGCGAGGATTAGTGTCACGATGCGCTGCTTCCAGTAGGTGCTTAATCTTTTTTCCTGTTTGATCATGGATGCATGACGTATGCGCAGCTACGTATAGTGATTGTTGCTGCATGGCCTTTCGGTACGCGCATCCGAAACCTGGTACAGTAGCAAGTTGAGGAGAGTGTTAAGTGCGATATTCGGCCATTAAACCGGGAACGAGGTCGAGGAGTTATCGCTGAAGACAAATAATTCATTACTGTTGAAGTGGAGAAGAAAATTGTTAAGGGACCCAAACAAGTTTAAGCGGTACAGCGTCGAAACCTTCTTCCATCTTTTGCGGACAGCGTACCTTCATGTCGCGTTGACAATCGCTTAAACGGGTGATGGAAACCTAGGTTCGGTACGATGCAGATGGAGAGCAACCATTGAATGTTTGTTTCTTGCTAGCTCAAGGTACGAGATTTCAATAGCTAGTCTTGGTTCCGAGAATACGGTATTTTGTTAGCCGCAAATGATCATGACGCTGCGCGATCGTTTGTGCCGAAGGTCTCAGATAGGCAGACAGCTGACCGATGGGTGCTCGAAATTGATTGGTGAAAACCTTACGTACATTTACGTAAGTCAACACAGTCATCGTGTAACGGGGCACCCTGAAGCTTGTACTGATGACAGTACCAGCTACTTATTCTGACGACAGAATAAGGCGGTGCCTCGGAACGTCACGTACACTCGTACGTGCAGAGGAAGACGGTAAGGAGAAGCAAGTACTTGGTTAAAGTAAAAAGTAGAACTGTATTTATCATAGTTAGTGTCTGTTAATAAATCACTATTTATCTTCATCTAACTATGTCTGAGTACAAATGTGCATATCAACTATCTGCTCACCACTCATTGCGTGCGTCTGTCGTGGCGCGTCTTCGTTGGTTGATATAATGGCCTATATCAACCGATTGGGAACTACTCGTAAGCGCTGCAGAATAATTGTCCTTATGTCAATATTCTGAGAATATAACTCTAAGTTGTATATTGTTATCAATTGCTTGTAAATTGTTATGTAACGGTTCACACCGTTACACATCGTGGACATGCTTTGTCTGCGCGACTTCAATTTGTATCCAGTGGTTGCAGGAACGGCGCGCGTCACTCCGGTTGGACCATCCCAGCAGGCCGGATCTCTGCATAGATGCACCATAGACGACGTTGTGGCCTAGTCTGCCTCTCGGGCATTTAAGACTTATAGGAAAGCGTTCGTTGACGCAGTAGGAGGTTAAAGGGATTCTTTCAATTTCCTTCTATATGCTCGCTCTCTCCTGCCTTGTTATCTATCGCTTTCGTCCAGTCATCTATTCCGTCCACATTCTGCACCTATCTTCCGGCAAAACGGCTATGCTAATTGTAACGGGGCACCCTTTGTTTGTGGTGCCGCGAAGCTTCACGTACAATAGTACGTGCCGCGAAAGCTAATCTACTCGAACGATTCGGTCAATTAAAGGTAAAATGAGAACTGTATTTGATACAGTTAAGCTATCAATTTAACTTTAATCGTTATCTAACCATATTAAACTACGCTGTCGTATGACGACAACCTGCTCACCACTCAATGCGCGCGTCTAGCTGCGATTGGTGGCAATCTATGGTTGATATGTCTCATATCAACGAATCTTGGAGCAGCGAATGAACATATTCCAAAAGAGGATAAAATTCCTTCAATACTACCCATCTCGGAAAATATTGGTAAAACACTGTCGTGCTAGAAAATATTCCAATTGACACCGTTTGGTGTCAATTTCATGTAACGGGCTACCCCGCTACATCACCCCCTTCATAACCATCAATCACCCGTTGGTTGAATTAGAGCTGATAGGGATAGGGTGACTACCGTTGGATCACCGAGGAAAGGGAGCACTTGTCGGTCATCACCATTCATTTGCCTATCCAACGCATAATTTCCAAAACCACGCGAGCTGCTACTGCAGCAGCAAGAAGAGCGGCTGCACGCATGCGTGCGGCCACGGAAAGTGCCTCTTACGCCTCAGCAGCAGGCGATTCGTCGCATGTTGTCGTGAATTCTCCACGTGGTGAGTCACCACGTGCGACAGGTACATCCGTTGCGTCTACAGCGGGTGCCTCGAATCGTAATCCAGATGATTCTAGAATAGAGCTTATCTATTCTGGAGAGTCAATTGCATCATCCGACTCGAAGGCGACTCCTCACGCCTCGGGATCACCCGGAGCGGACGCTGCAAAAGCCAGGCTGACTGGCTCTGGTCAGCGCGGCAGCATCATGTCCAAGATCTTCGGATCGAGTGATTATTCCAAAGAATCTCAGCCTCACACAAGTCCATCCAACCACAGGACGCGTGAGGATGGTGGTGACGCACCTATGCATCACCACGAGCGAAGAAACTCGAGGAATCGAGGCGTCACTGGTGTCAGTGCTCACGCTGGCACCAATCAAGAGGTCAGGGACCAAAACGTCCTGGGCCACGCTCCTCAAGTAGAGTTTCCGTGGATGCCTTCATCTAGAGAGTTGGACCGGCTAGCCGGCATAACTAACGAACGGGATCGAATCCTATTGTTCGATTGCAGGAAGATTTGCCCACCTGATTCCAGCACGGAAACTATCCGTGCTGAGGAAGAGTTCTTCACTGATGCGTTCTTCAAACATCGTTGGTACAATGGCAGCCGTGTTCGAGACGGCAAAGCCTTGGTGCAAGCATGTAATTCCCTCATTCATGACATCGAGTGAATTGGCCGTGAGGCCTGGCTCGCCAAATTTGATGCAGCTCGCATCAGGTTTGAGAAACGCAACCAAGTCGGGGCGCGATACAAGTTGCACCAACTGTACAGAGAGTCAGGATTACCATGTCTCTCGTGGGGTGATTCGTGTCCAGGTTGGCTGGACAATTCGAACCGTGCCCCTCGGAAAGCCTCCCTCCCTAATGTTCCCTACTGGAATACGCGCGTCTCTTCTGAGATGGCCGAAGGAAACGATACCTTGCAATCCCTGTACTCGCGGTCGGGGAGGTCATTTTCCGACGGCCCTGATTCGAACGCAGCAAGTTAGTCTCGTCATATTGCTCGACGAGACCAAGGACATCAAGCATTAGCTGAGCACGAGGCTTCCAGCTGTCCCACGCCGGTGGATAGCCACGCCAGCGGACGAGGTAACTCGTCCGGACGCCATTCACGTCGCGGTGGTTCAAAATACACTCCTCTAAAAAGCTTTGACCACCGCCTGAGTCCATCAAAGGATGTGGTGGTGGTGGGAACACCTGATCCGGATCGAGGGTCGGATCAGCTTAATGTTCAAGAGCTGAACCATGTAACACAACAGTTGTAAGATGACCTGGCTCACGAATAGACTCGGCGTTATGATCTTGAGAATCTTGTAAGGGATAATTACAATTCCTTAGTGCAAGATCGTTTGGACGATCGTGCCGCGTTTGTGTTCGCGCAACTTGAGAACGAACTTTCGTCTCGTTCTCTTTGTGACGAGCTGGATGTAGCTCGTCGAGACATCGCTAAACTGCGTGAACACGTTGCTTCGCTAGTCGACCATACTGGTTCGTTGAAACTGGACCACTCGAATGTGGTCTCGGCTCTCGACCGTGGAGGTGTTCTTCGCATTTCAAAACGGGCTCGTACTAATAGTACGGGCGGATACGACCAACGTAAAATGTAGGATGCGTACGCATCTTACGGGGCAGTTCAATCGTGTATGCGTTACCCATTCGGCGCAAAACACGAAATGGACCGATGTAATTGGGCAGTCATTTACTGCTGCCCACGTTTGTCACTGCGTGCTTTGGTAAGTTTACTGTAGACAGTAAAACTAGGTCTCCTTCATCAAATGAAAGAGCATTTGCTCTTCCATATCTTTCTGCAATGCTTTTCTGTCTGTCTAATGCATCTGCAATAGAGTCTTGAACGAAGCGGACAACCGCTTCGCGAGTCAGCAAAAATTCCTCTGCTGATTCATCCTTGTCAACAACCGTGCGCTTCGTGTGCACTGCTTGAAAAAAGTTGTCTTCACCAGTGAGGGCGTCATCTTCCTCACTGTGGCAGTCATTGGCGATGCTGAATTTACCAGCATCACCATCGTTCATATCGATCGCATCGACATCGGCATCCATCACGTCGACACCATTGTCTACGGGTGGTGAGCAAGAAACAGATCGGTTTTTGTGTTTGAGCGAATCCACCCCCCCCCTTCAACTAGAGTCACACTCTAAGAAGGCGGGTAAACAAGGATGTTGTAGGCCATTCACGAAGAACGGTGTATGCGTTGTCGACGCGTGCACCGAGTTGTTGATGGCGAATTCCGCCATCGGCAAGAACTCACTCCAGCTCGTAAACGAGTGGACGTACCCTCGAAGTATCTCT